AGGTTTTGATATAAGCCACTCACATTTACAACTGCCATTAAAATTAACTATTTAATTACCTGAATTAAATATTTCGGTATTTAAGGACTTAATTCGATTCGATTAAAATTATTATTTGTAGCTTTTTCATAATACCTACGGGCTCAAGATTTATATTTCGAGGTATTGCAAACGGATTGACAAACTTAACATACCCTCTATACGTACGTTAAGTTTGTCATTTCGTTTGCAATACCTCGAAATATAAATTTTAAGCCCAGATCAGCATAAAATTACATGTCGATTTAGCAGTGTCCGTTTGTCCATCTATGGAAAACACTTTAACTTTAATTTTACTCAGATGGCTGTAAGGACTGCAGAACTTTTGGTATTGAAAATAGGTTATATAGATCCACGTTATGGTATAGCATCCATATAACTGTACAGACAGAATTAGGGCTTTTTTTGGATGGTTTAGTCACAACTTTAATCCGAAATTGCTGTAAATTGGCAGCAGGCGTTCCAATTATATAAGAAACATATTTTCATAGAACTGTCAATGTAGGTCGAAATTTTGGTATAATCACCTCCTCCAGATATTTGTCTCACACTTTTATGATTTGTGTCACACTATTCACTGCAATTTGCTTTTTTTGTCCACCAAATGCACATACGACCAAATAGAGCCAGAAAACAAGTATGCCAAATTTGATCGATATCAATTCAGACCTAGCTATAGCTCCCATATATATTGTTCATCCGATTTGTTACTTTTTTCTTCCCCAGCCGTAATATGCTCTCCGTAACAACGATATTCGGGGAAATATACCTAATACAGCACCTTTGCCAAATTTTATTGAGATCGGCTCAAATTTTAACATCGCTGATGATATATTTATCCGATTTTGTGCACCAAATGGTTAATAAAAGTCCGAATTAAAGAGACAAAAATGCTTCCGCATATTTAGAAGGTTCAGATTTGGATAACGCTGATGACATATTTATCCGATTCTGTACACCAAATGGTTAATATAAGCCCGAATTAAAGAGACACAAATGCCTCCGCAAATTTAGAAGAAATCGATATAAAGGAGGATTTTCCTGCCATATATTAGTTAGACTTTTAATTATAACTGAAATCATAGTTGGTATCATTTAATTCTCACAAATTCATCATCAAAGCGTTTATTTGTTAAATGTGGCTCCGCTATACAGGGTGAGATGAAAAAATGTAACCAACATAAGACTCCTGTCACTTCTAAGCCACTCGTCCGACAGCTGTTACATTATTCCTGTGACAGCTCATTATATTATTTACAAGCGTACAAAAGCATTTTGGTGAGAGTTTTCTTTCCTTATACATGGCTGGAAAACCTCAAATGGCTATCGTTAGAGCACTCCAGCATTAAATCTTTTGTGTCTCGTACCATTGCTCGTTACCGTGTTACTGGTAGCGTAGCCCGGAAGGAAGTGGACAGAAGATAACAGCAATATCAGCAGAAATCGTTCGAAAAGTAAAGAAGCAACTTGATCGAAACCTGCGTCGCAGTGGCCGATAAATGGCTCGTGAGCGAAACATATCGCAATATTTGGCAAATATTAAAAAATGAGCTCGGGGTAAAGCCCTTGAGATTCCAAATTCCAAAAAATGCAAGAACTTACACCGCTTGGCCGAAAGTGGTGAACTGCCGATTCTAGTTTTCTCCGATGAGAAAACATTCGATGTCCAGCAGTTTGTAAACAAACAAAATGATCGTCTTTACGTGCCAAAGAGGTCAACTGAAAATGTGCATGTTCGGTTGGCCACCAGAACTCAAGCGACGGACATGGTGATGGTGTGGGCCGCCATAACAGCCAATGGTCGCTCTCAGCTCGTATTAATCGATTGTGGCATCAGAATAAATGCCAATATAATATTATCGGCGGGTGTATTGAAGCCTTGGGCACGCAAACATTTTGCCGCAGACCTTGGACATTCCAGCACGCGCCACCCAAAAATGGTTACAAAATAAAGTTCCTCGCTTCATTTTCAGTTCACAATGGCCACCAAAATCTCTGGATACCAATCCGATGAACTATTGTGTCTGGAGTATTTTGAAAAGCAAGGTTGGCATTAAAAAAACCCAAAGTGTAGATCACCTCAAGTAAGCGCTCCGCCGGGAGTGGGCCAAAATACCGCAGAGCAACATTTGGGCAGCGTGTGAAGGTTTCATTGACCGTTTGAAGGTCACAATTCGGGCCAGAGGTGACCAATTCGAACAAATCTAAACTTATTCTAATATTTGATGCTATTTCCGATATAAAATTTATGCCATTTGACTGTGTTGCAATTTTTTTATCTATGCAAAGGAGCGTAGGGTATCATAAGTTGGTCCAACCCGGCTTCGATATTTCTTTACTGGTCTTAGTATGAATTTCCAAAATAACCCCTAATTCGTATAGTTTTAACAATTGGAACACTTTTCCAAAACTTCCTCCTTTACCAATCATACTTCGATCCCACAATACAAAGCAGTACCAAACATATTGTTTTTTAGTATACCTGTAATATGAATTTTAATCAACCTTACACCTCATCAACCACCCTAACTCTAACATTTCAGAATTTTCACTCTATTCGTTTGCCTAATACTATGGGTTCAATTATTAGTACCTTAAATACTTTAATGCGCTCTATAGTGTCCATTTCAAAAAAAAAAAAAAAAAAAAAAAAAAACAATTAAAAAAGCAGTAAGTTCGGCCGGGCCGAACTTTGAATACCCTCCACCATTTGGAACGAATTAGAAAATTTTCAAAAAAATAAAATCCAATAAAAATTCTTTTAAAATCTTTAAAATATCTAATATAGGAAGGTGCCGATATATGGGGAGATATACGATATTGTGGACCTATAAAGACAAATCTATGTCTGCGTGTAAAGTACTCACAAGGAACTCCGTGTGTGGATTTTCAGACAATACGATTGGAAAATGTGGCTAAAATCATCAAAATACCGAATATCGTGGGGTACCGTTATATGGGAGCTATACGTTATCGTTAACCTATATAGAGAATTCTCTGTAGGTGGGTAAAGTGCTCACAAAGAACCCCTTGTGTACAAAGAACCCCTTGTGACCATTCCGTTGAAAAATATGGCTAAAAACATTAAAATACCGAATATCAGGGGTACCGTTATATGAGGGCTATGCAATAAAGAAATACCAAATATCGGGGGTACCGTTACATGGGGGCTATACGATATTGTGGACCTATATAGATAATTCTCTGCCGAGGTATAAAGTACCCACAAGGAACTCCTTGTGTGGATTTTCAGACAATTCCTTTGAAAAATGTGGGTAAAATCATCAAAATACCGAATATCGGGGGGTACCGTTATATGGGGGCTATACGATATTGTGGACCTATATAGATAATTCTCTGCCGAGGTATAAAGAACCCACAAGGAACAATTCCGTTCAAAAATGTGGGTAAAATCATCAAAATACCGAATATCGGGGGGTACCGTTATATGGGGGCTATACGATATTGTGGACCTATATGGACAATTCTCTGCCGAGGTATAAAGTACCCACAAGGAACTCCTTGTGTGGATTTTCAGACAATTACGTTGAAAAATGTGGGTAAAATCATCAAAATACCGAAGATCGGGGGGTACCGTTATATGGGGGCTATACGATATTGTGGACCTATATTGATAATTCTCTGCCGAGGTATAAAGTACCCACAAGGAACTCCTTGTGTGGATTTTCAGACAATTCCGTTGAAAAATGTTGGTAAAATCAGCAAAATACCGAATATCGGGGGGTACCGTTATATGGGGGCTATACGATATTGTGGACCTATATAGATAATTCTCTGCCGAGGTATAAAGAACCCACAAGGAACAATTCCGTTCAAAAATGTGGGTAAAATCATCAAAATACCGAATATCGGGGGGTACCGTTATATGGGGGCTATACGATATTGTGGACCTATATGGACAATTCTCTGCCGAGGTATAAAGTACCCACAAGGAACTCCTTGTGTGGATTTTCAGACAATTCCGTTGAAAAATGTGGATAAAATCATCAAAATACCGAATATCGGGGGGTACCGTTATATGGGGCTATACGATATTGTGGACCTATATTGATAATTCTCTGCCGAGGTATAAAGTACCCACAAGGAACTCCTTGTGTGGATTTTCAGACAATTCCGTTGAAAAATGTGGGTAAAATCATCAAAATACCGAATAGCGGGGGGTACCGTTACATGGGGGCTATATATATAGCCCATCTTCGAACTTGACCTGCCTGCAGACAAAAGAGAGATCTGTGCAAAATTTTAGCTTCCTATCTTAATTCGTTTAGACTGTAGCGTGATTGCAACAGACGGACAGACGGACGGACAGGGCTAAATCGTCTTAGAATTTTACGCATCTCAAGAATATATAAAAAACCTAGCCTTATCCTGCTACTACACACCAACATAGACTCGTTTTGCCTGGATTTAGCTCAGTCATGGGCTTTAGGTTACAGACCCACTTATTGAAATATTTTCAAAATATATAAATGCATTCGAATAAAGGCAGTGTTCACGAAATGGCAGTAACTCATGAACTAATCCAGATACAATACCGTTTATACATGAAACCTTGGTATTGATGTCACCTTTCATTCCAAGTTTGCAGAATCAAATTCACGCATATCAATTGGAGAATATCAATTACAAACAGAATTTAATTAGTATTATATATACATTAGTTTTGTACGTTTTTTTATTGACTGAAAATCTTTAACAGTCGTTGGCATAGAAATTTGTTCTCTGATAGCTTCTCAATGGATGGATAAGACCTTTAGTCTTTACTTCCTGAAGAGTACACACCCTCTCTCTTCTTATACTGAAGTAAAAATTCTATGACAGACTCTTGGAAACTTTTTTTGTTACATATTTATATAGAACTTTTTGCCCATTAAGATGTTACAGTGTAGGGCATAATTGTTCATATAAAAAAATTATGAGCTTTGGTAAAATTTACTTACAAAATATCTAAAGGCAATTTCACCGAACATTCGCCGCGCATAATTGAGGCCGCTGTCGAGTTTGACGTCGCCGATGAACTACTGCTGTTGTTGTTGCTGTTGTGGTAGTGGTTGTGTTGATGATGCTGGTGGTGGTGGTGTTGGTGTTGATGCTGGTTGGCTGTGCCGTAGTTGGTGGTGGAGGAGGTTGAGCCGCTACCAGAGTAACGCTGTTGATGATGGTAATTGTGGCCAACAGATGATAGTAGAGTCGTAACTGATGATCCCGCTGTTTGTGGCTCCTGTTGCAATAGATGCTGATGTTCATGTTGCTGTTCTCGGTGAGGATGCTGATGATGACTGGGGTGGTGGTTACTGTAGTATTCGCGATTATGATGAGACTGTGTTGTCGTTGTTATTCCTGTTCCTGTTCCTGTTGCAGATGACTGCCGTTCGTGATGCTGCAGCAGCTGTTGTGGTTGTGGCTGTTGATCCAATGATGAATAATGATGACTGCTATTGTCGGCAACAAATGTCGCACTATTGCTGCTAGTACGTCTTTTGGCAGCTGTCATTAAGGTGGCCTGGACAAACCAAAATTCTTAGTGAAAAGAATTGGTTTCTTCGCGGGAGAGAGAGAGAGGGGCGTAGAGAGAAAGGAGCAATAAAGAAATGTGTTGGGAAGAAATTTTACGATTTCACAATGCAGCTGAAAAGATGCTGACCGAAAGTCGGAATGACAGGAAATTCCTTTGCTTTGCAGGGAAATGTGTGTTTTCAGATATAACAGCAAATTCCGAGTGCAATTTTTATCTCCAACTTCCTTGCTGCTAATAAAATATCGTTGTGATAAACTATTTCCGGTTTCCGCGGTTGTGGCAATTGTGGCCCGATCCTTGGTCTTGTCAATTGTTTAGCCGTTGTGTTTAAATTCAATTTCCGTTCCTGAATTTGCCGGAGGACTGCAGTCGAAATATTGCCTAGTTTTTGTGGTATATGTGTTAGTGTGTTACGTTGAAAGTTAGACAGAATTTGAAGTGCAGCTGCAGTTGGTAGAGAAACGGGGTATCAGGATGTGATATGATTTGATCATCAATTCAATGCATTTCCGCTGGAAATCATCACCATTATCGGCATGTGTCGCCGAAATCGTGAACATATTACAATGCCGACTAACCTTGACACAACCTCAAACTGAACAGCCCTGAATGAGGATGCCCGGGCCAATGTTGATGGCGATGATGTTGGATGGCCAACTGACTGACTGGCTGGCCAATGTCCAAATCTCTGTGGATGGCCCACTTGGATTGGTGGCTATAGCCACAATACTGTCGTTTTAAACGTTGTCAATGTTCAGTGTTGTTGTTGTTGTTGTAGCTGTTGTTTCCGTCAACTATTTCCGGTTGCAAGAAAATTGCATTATGACCCGACTGTGCCAATGCCAGGTGGCCGTAGCCTGCTGGTTTGTTGCTGTTGTTTATGCACCGCCTATGGTTTCTGGTGTCTGTTGTTTTTCTGCCCGAATAAAGAAAAGCTGTTGCATGTCGAGGAAATTGTTGTTGTTGTTATTTTGCTGCCAAGGTAATGGCCTGGCTTTATTGTTCAATCCAGCTGCAATTACCAATAAATTGTTTGTCTTTCAAAGGCAATGTTGAGGAAACTGCCTTGGAGAACTTCTTTCCTTCACTATTCTCTCCCCTATTTACTATGCTTTTTTTTTTCTTCCTTGCTTTTATTTCCTTCCTTTGTATCGGGGCTTACCGTGCAACTTCGACAAAGCCGTAACTAGCTATTGATGTTGGTGCTGAGTTCCAACTGTTGTGGAGTGTTAGTGGCACGTTGTATCCTTTTATGAGGACAATGATGCCGTCGTTGCTGCTGCCTTTGCCATAAACATGTTAATTTGTTGTAGCTGTTGCCTTTTCAAATTGTAATTACAGTTTGCTTTGTAGTATTCATTTTCTCAATAGCTCGAAGCTCGTCTCTCCCTCAGCAGCATAGAGACACCGCGCGAACACTACAGTAACTTCACCCGAACCTCAATGGATTTGTTGTTGCAATGGCCTTTGTACCTTTCCCTCTGGCATTTTCATTATTTCCGCTTTGACATTAAAGACCATGTCTAAAATTTGTTTTGCTTTTATTTTTTTATTTTTTTTTTCTAAATATGTATGAGTTTGAGTTGTTCTCTTGTTCTTTTTTTATTATTGCTATAGCTGTTGTAATTGGTATTCCTCTGCTATGTATCTGCTGTTTTTTTTTTTTTTTTTTTTTTTTTCTAAAACCTCGTGTTTTTTCGTACTTAAAATTCTAAAGTTGATGGCACAAGTTTGGATATGTTTTGAGTTAAGTTTAACTTAAATTAGGTTTGATATGATAAAGGATTTTATTGTGGTTGTTGTTTTTGCTGTTCTCTTACATTTCCCAAATTATCAGTGGAGGGTTGGCGTTTGCTGGAAAGCGTAATCTGGAAAAAACGAAAACACAAAATTGATTAGATTTTTTGGTTTAAACTAGAAATTGCCAAAGTTAGTTTGGTAAAATTGCAAAATTGCTATTTTTAATCCCCCATAAATAATAAATAATCCCCCATAAAAAATCAAGGAACGTAAAAAAATTCCCAAAAAGCTCCGTCGAAAAATACCACTCAAAGGCAAATAGAATAAGGGGCCTATACGAAGACGTGGTTCTGCATAAGCAATTTGTTGTCATAGGTTGTAGCACCCATTACGAACTGTAAATATGAAATTTGAAACAATTCCCGTAAAAAAAGTCGCTAAAATTATCAAAATACCGAATATTGGGGTGGTACTGTTGTATGGAGATATACGATATCGTAGACTTGTATAGGCATTTCTTTTCCAGGGTTAAAAGGAACACATAAGGAACTCCCTTTGTAATTTGCAGAAAATTACATTGCAAAAAGTGGCTACAATAAACAAAATATCGAATATCGGTACGCACCCCGTACCGGTAGGCCTATACGATATCGTGGACCTATATAAACAGTACTCTTCCGGAGAGTAAACTACTCAGATCGAACTCCTTGTGTGGATTTTCGGACAATCCCATTGAAAAATGTGGCTAAAATCATCAAAATACCGGATATCGGGGGTACCGTTCTATTGGGGCTATACGATATCGTAGACCTATATAAACAGTACTCTTTCAGAAAGTAAACTATTCGGAATGAATTCCTTGTGTGGATTTTCGGACAATTCCATTGAAAAATTTGGCTAAAATCATCAAAATACCGGATATCGGGGGTACCGTTATATGGGGGCTATACGATATCGTGGACCGATATTGTAAATCTTCTTACTTGATATACCTGCCGATATAAGATAGATCTATGCAAAAATTTAAGCTTCCTATCATAATTCGTTTTGACTCCAGTGTGATTACAATAGATGGAATTTTCTTTATTATACCCTCCATTGAGGTCCTCATCTGTAGATCATCTACGCTCTACATTGGTCTTAGAAATGAAACTACTGAAGCTAGATTCTTGCACTTTTGCACGAGGGCAATGATAAGGATGGGTTTTTGGAAAGTTGTTGTAAAAGGGTACGAAAAATACTAAAATGTACTAAAAATTAAATACTTTTTATTGGACAAATGGAATGAGGTAGAATTCTGAACATCGGAGTCACTGATAGAGTGCAGGATAGATGTACTAAATGGTTTTTGGAAATGCGAACTTTAAAAATACGAAAAGTTCAAAAATGGTACTTAATATCAAAAATGGTACAATTTGGTAATATTATTGAAAAGTTGGTATGAGAATCACGTTTCGAAAGTAAGTTTAATATTTGAAGGTGGTTTTGGAAAAGTATACTACAAGTGTACGAAAAGTTCTAAATAGTACTTTATTTGGTACAATTTGGTACTGGGTTTATAGACAGAGCTTGAAATTTTGTAATAGGGTTCGTGTTCATGTGTAGCCTGGAGATATGGAGAAGGTTTCGGAAACATGTACTATAATTGTACGAAAATTACTAAATAGTATTACATTTGGTATTCGGCGAAAGATAAAATTCTGCAATTTGATATTTACTTTACTAATGGTATGTGTATTTGAATTCTGGCGGTGGTTTAGAAATGCGTTATATTTTTCATCCTCAAATTTCATATTGAAGTCTCTGTTGTCATTTGGAATTGAGATAAGGAGGTGGTCTTAGAAATGTGTACTATAATTGTACAAAAATAACTAAATGATACGAAATTTGGTATTGAGTGAAAGGATTGGACTGCTATCCTCAAAATTGATGTTGAGGTTTCTGTTGGTACTAAATTTGGTATTATGTAAACTGACATTTGATATAGATGTCTATATTGTGTTTGTACTTAAGATATGGAAGTGGTTTTGGAAATGTGTACTATAATTGATTTAAAAGTACTAAGTGGTACTTAATATAGCATTGGGTGAAGGGATAGATCTGAAATCACGAAATTTGAGATTGAGGTCTCTGGTGGTATATTTGACAAAACTGTACGAAAAGTACTAAACGGTACTAACTTTGGATCATGAGATAGTTATGGATATGCGTACAAATATCCATAGTAGGTTTGTAAACTATATTTTATGGCTAGTATCTCTATCTGATAGCGATACCCGTAAAAGCTCACATTTCAAACGGAAACTTTTCTCGAAATCGAAGTTCTCTGGACAAGCGAACTATAGGGTGAGATAAAAAAACTGAAACAAAGTCAAAAGCCATTATTTTTACATTTTTTTATACCGTACACCACAAGGTGGTCAGGGTATTATGTCTTTGTGCATTTGTTTGTAACAGGCAGAAGGAAACGAGATAGACCCAAAGTTCCTTTTGATGATCTGCATAGAATCACTTTCTGAGTTGATTTATGCATGTCAGTCCATCCGTCCGTCTGTCCATGCATTCTTGTGAACAAAATGCAGGTCGCAGTTATTATGCGATTGAGATGAAATTTCCAAACAACATTTGTTTGGCACGAGGACGAACCCTATTGAAATTGGAGATAATCGGTAAAAATTTAGATATAGCTCATATATATCTTTGTCCGATATGCCTTTTATTGTGCACCAAACGTGTAATATCAGTCCGAATAGTGGGGATTTTTGCACATACAACCAAATTAGGCCTGAAAATAAGTATGCCAAATTTGATCGAAATTGGTTCAGATATAGCTATAGCTCCCCTATATATTGTTCATCAGATTTGTTGTATTTGTTATCCACAGCCGTAATATGCATTCCGTAATAACGATATTCAGGGAAATATATATAATACAGCTCAGAAATACCTTTGCTAAATTTTATCGAGTTCGGTTCAGATTTAGATATAGCTCCCATATATATCTTTATCTGATTTACATTTTATTGTGCACCAAACGTCCAATATTTGCCCAAATGGGATGGAATTTGGCACATACGACCGAATTGAGTCTAGAAGGTAGTATGCCAAATTTGGTGAATATCGGTTCAGATATAGCCATAGTTCCCATATATTGTTCATACGATTTGTTGTATTTGTTACCCACAGACGTAATATGCACTCCGTGACAACGATATTTAGGGAAATATATCAAATAAAGCTCAGAAATATATTTGCCAAATTTTATCGACATCGGTTCAGATTTGGATATAGCTCCCATATATATCTTTATCTGATTTCAAATTAATTGTGCACCAAATGGGCAATACAAGACCGAATTTAAAAGATACAAATGCTTCGGCATATTTAGTCCTTTGAATTTTAAATTATAATTATAATCATAGGGTGTATGATTGAATTCTCCCATAAAAACATTTAATTGTTATATGGAGCTCAACTAAATTAGCAAAGTGGTGTAGGGTATCATAAAATCGGCCCCGCCCGACTATAAAAATTTCTTTACTGTTTTTTTTTTTAATTTTATTGATTTTTTTTAAATTTTATTGAATGAAAGCAAAAAAAGTTCGGAAATAGCATACAATTTTATGGTAAGTTAAGATTTGTTCGAATTGATCAGCTTTGACACGAATTAGGGCCATCAAACGGCCAATGAAACCGTCACACGCTGCGCGAATGTTGCTCTGCGGTATTTTGGCTCAGCTCCGGCGAATCACTTGCTTGAGATGATCGACACTTCGGAATTTTTTAGTGCCAACCTTGCTTTCAAAAATACTCCAGACACAAAAGTCCAGCGGATTGGTATCCGGAGATTTTGGTGGCCATTGTGCGCTGGAAACGAAGCGAGGAACCTCTTTTGTAATCATTCTTGGGTGGTGCGTGCTGTGTGCGATGGTGCTGAGTCCTGTTGGAATGTCCAAGGTCTGCGGCCAAGGCTTTAATACACCCTCCAAAATATTTTTGCGATAATATTCGTCATTTCTTCTGATACCACGGTCGATTAATACGAGCACAGAAAAACCATCAGCTGTTATGGCGGCCCACACCATTACCATGGCCGACGCTTGAGTTCTGCTGCCCAACCGAAGGTGCATATTTTCACCTGACCTCTTTGGCATCATTTTGTTTGTTTAAAACTGCTGGACAACGAAAGTTTTCTCATCGGAGAAAACCCAATATGGCAGCTCAACACTTTCGGCGAAGTGAAGCAACTCTTTAGCTCTTTTGAATCTATTTTCTTTCTGTAGCGGTACTTTTTGAAATTTCAATGGCTTTACCCCGAACTCATTTTTCATTATTTGCGCGAATGGAATATTGCGATATTTTCAGCTCACGAGCCATTTTTCGGCCACTGCGACACGGGTTTCGAACAAGTCGCTTCTTTACTTTTCGAACCATTTTTTCTGTCCACTTTCTTGACGTGGGGATATGTTACCAACATTACAGTAACGAGCGGTGGTACGAGACACTTGTGGTTTTCCGGCCGAACATACAGAAATCCCGCTATCACGGTTGAATTCCATCACGAATACGTGTTTTCTGGAAAATTCTCACCAAAATGCTTTCGTACGCTTGTACAAAATATATTGAGCTGTCACTGGAATAATTTTAACAGCTGTCGGACGAGTGGCTTAGAAATGACAGCAGTCTGGAGTTGGTTGCAGTTTTTTTCATCTCACCCTGCATTTTGTCATGAGGAGCACTGGACATTTCTAGTTAGCTGACAAAGTATTGGTGAGCTTTGAAGTAGTTAGTGATTTAATTTGTATTTGTTGAAGGGATCATTTATGTATCTAAAATTTGCTTAAAGAGTTTACTAACTGACTCTTTGCTGACCTTCTTTCTCTGTTTCTTTCTTAGAACATTTTTTATTTCAGTATTCCTTTCATTTTTCCAAATTGCTTTTATTTGTTTTACCGACAATCAGTTCAGTTAATCACTGCCCAGGTCATGTCAATACAAAACAAATAAAAAAGCTGTAAGTTCGGCCGGGCCGAGCTTTTAATACCATCCACCATTTGGCACAAATTTGGCAATTTCCAAAAAAAAATAAAAATAAAATCCGTTAAAAATTCTGTTAAAATCTTAAAAA